GGCGGCGTAGGCAGCGTTGGCATGGGCAGCACGTTGGGCGCCGCTGCACGCGCGCATTGAGGCGGCGCGCCCTAGTACCGCAAGGACTAGGCGACGCGGGCGGTTGGGCGTAAGGCGGTCGCGTACAAAGGGCCGAAGAGAGAGAGTTTGAGTGGAGTGCAAGCCAAGTTGTTTCCATCTTACAATATGAGATCTAGATTGTTTAGGATACTTAATATTTTATTGCTTTATTTGATCCCTAGGTAGATTAGGCTTAGATATAATTTTGTGCCTATATAAAGGCCCTTAACCCATGTTATTTTTAATCATCCAAGAAATCAATAGAAGTCTAGAACTTTGTTCTTCCAACTTTGCTTTAGTCTTTTCACCAGAATACTATTGCAATTTTATTCGTTCCAAGAGGCACGGTTGTGGCTCGAAGAACACTATCGGCGATTCAAGGCGCGGGTTAGCGGCTTATCGGCAGTTGAAACACACGATCCTCATCAACGCGGCAGCCTGCGCGCGCGGACTGGGCAGCTGGGCGTGAGGGCGGGGCCTGCTGCACGGGGACCATGGGCTCGGCGCGTGAAGGATGCTTGAACCGGCTTTTGAGGCTTTTCTTGTGCCGCTATGACTTAGAAAAATATATCAAGTGTTGGTTAAGTCTTAGACTTGGTCTCGGACCTCGACCCGGGGCCTTGGGCGGGGCCGCAGCTCGAGTGGCTCGGTTAACTTCTCGGTTTTATGAACGAAGTCTAGGACTTAAATCTTGAACTTAGATATTTTACAAAACTTACGAAAAATATTCTAAGTATTGCTACTAAAGTTCAGCTATGCTCAGAAATGACTTTAAATTTATTCGGATCGAGACTTGGGTCCGAGGCTAAAATTCTCGAGTCAATTAACTATAATTTAACAACCCAAATTAATGGATTGATCTTGACTTAAACTTGACATCGAAATATCCAAAGAATGATCTATCAAACTTAGGAATTAATTGAGCATTTAGCATATAAAATATAACTCGGAATTTTTGAGAATTTCGAATTTCACTTATAGTCGAGCAGTGAAATCGTTCTTAATCTTATTTATTATTCGGGGCGTTACATCTAGGTCTTGGAATATTCATTTTGACGAGGTGATCAAGTCCTATGGATTTGATCAATGTCAGGACAAAAGTTGTGTATACAAAAAGAGCAACGGAAACGTAGTGGCATTCTTAGTACTATACGTAGATGATATTCTTCTCATTGGCAACGATGTCAAGATTTTGTCAGACGTAAAGGTATGGCTTTCAGAACAATTTCAAATGAAGGACTTGGGTGAGGCATCGTACATTCTTGACATGAAGAAGAGAATGTTGTGTCTATCTCAAGCTGCTTACATTGATACTGTGATTGCTCATTTCAGCATGCAGAACTCCAAGAAAGGGTTGCTACCTTTTCGGCATGGAGTTCCTCTATCTAAGGATATGTGTCCGAAGACACAAAAGGAGATAGAGGAAATGGCTAAGGTTCCTTATGCTTCGGCTGTAGGAAGCCTTATGTATGCCATGCTGTGCACGAGATCTGATATTTGCTATGCGGTTGGCATGGTTGCGAGATATCAGTCTAACCCTGGTCAAGGACATTGGACTGTGGTAAAGCATATTCTCAAGTATCTCAAAAGAACTCGGGATTATATGCTTGTTTACAGGTCAGACGGTCTAACTCCTTTGGGTTACACAAATTCTGATTTCCAAGCTGATCGAGATAAGAGAAAGTCAACCTCGGGTTATGTTTTTATGATGGGAGGCGGAGCAATCTCATGGAGGAGTGTGAAGTAGAAATGCATCGCAAATTCTACCATGGAAGTCGAATACGTTGCTACTTCAGAAGCAACAAAAGAGGTTGTTTTGCTCAGGAGCTTCTTACTGGACTTAGGGGTATCTTCGAGTGTGCCTAGGTGTATCACAATTTATTGTGACAACGCTGATGCAGTCGCAAACTCGAGAGAACCCCAAGCACATAAGGCCAGTAAACACATTGAGAGAAAGTACCACCTTATACGAGAGATCGTGAAACGAGGAGATGTAGTTGTGACGAAGATAGCATCGTTGGATAACCTAGCTGATCCTTTCACGAAGACTCTGACTGTCAATGTCTTCGAGAAACACGTAAGGGGTCTTGGTTTACGATGTGTGGCAGCTAGACTTTGAGTATAAGTGGGAGAATTGTTATGGCATGTGTTTATATACTAAAAGTTTAGCTTTAGTATAAGTGGGAGATTGTTGGGGTATACAGTAAAGCAAACTTTTATGTGAGCTTTTGGATTGTATTTATTCGATTTTCCATTCGACTGAAATAAATGTTTTCACATTGTTGCATTCTTTATGATTGCTTGTATGCTAAATGTCTAATTATCTTATATTGTAGACAATGTGGTGTGTTAGTAGTCACACAGAAGATTACATTGTCGGTCCTTTATAAGATATAAATGGTAT